GCCTCTAGTGATAATTATCAAAATTTAATTTAATTTCATGCGCAAAAAAAAAAAAAACAATCAATCTTCCACTACTTATGGCATATACTAAGCATGATAAATTCCATACAATAGCATCTTAATAAATAACTCATGCTATATTCATTTAATAGTGGAATTCAAATAAATAAATAAAAACTAAGCATGCTTCTCTAATCATAACATATTACAAACCCTAAAAAAAAATAATATGTTGTGTTTAATATTCAGATTATGTCATAATAAAATGTACATCATTCAGAAATTTTCAGAAATTTTAAATAACTAATAAACACATATAAAATTAGAAATAAATATTCTAGAATCTGGTGAACTGAAACAATTATACCAGTAAATGGTAAAACTTTGCAGTAGTCTACAATTAAAATTTCAACCCCAGAAAATTAATCATGCAACACCAGAAGCATTTTAAAGCAGAAATAATGAATTATTATCACAGAAAAAATATTTTTTCTTTTCATAAAATTTTTAAAATTTTACACATGATAGAAAATTTAATTATGAGTCTAACAGTACCAACCACGCATAAAACAAATCTATAACGAATTATTTGTGACCATTTAACGCAATTCAGAATTAAAAACAAAACAAACAGTGCCGAAACATTAGCGGCCAAGCCAGCCAAGCCGGCGGAGGAAAACGGCGCGGCTCAGCAGGCGGCTCAGCACACGGCATACATGCGTGGCGCGAACGGCGCGCGCGTGGACAGCACCGCTGACGTGCGCGTGATGACGCGTGTAGGTGTGTGGAAGCACATGGCAACCGCTCACGGCGTCAGATGGCGCGTGTGGCCCATGCGCCAGCTTCCAGGGTGTTTTCTGGTCCAATTTCGATGTTGCCGGACTCCATTTTTCAAAATAAAAAACATTTATGGTCTTAAAAATGACATTTAATGAATTTAAAAATGAGATATTTTATACTCTCAATCTAAAGAGAGTGGAAGTGCAAAAACTCTGCACTTCATCTTCATCCTTCATTGATTTTCATGCATATAATGTGTATATATTAATAAAAATATACACATGATTAAAAAAAAACACGAAAATACCCATATAGCTCTGATACCAATGTAAATCAAAGTATAACGCAGCGGATGAAAAATTTCAGAATCATACCTTTTTAGCAGAGTCTGAAGCGAAGAATCTCGTAGGTAAATCACGTGCTTCCAGAATGTGAACAACCAACCTAGCAGTGGAGTGATACTACAAAATAAGTATCAACCACACAAGTCACAGTGCAAAATGGCTTGATTGTTGTTTAATGGGAGAGAGTCAGTATAGGGAAAACAAAAACATACGTTGTTTGGTGATACCCATATCCCGTATATCATATCAGATATATAGGATAAATATATCATCTATCCATATCAGTTGATATGATAGATATAGATATCCTGAGTAGCTATTTTTATAAGCTTTGAATTCGAATTCAAATTCAAACTTACATGAATAATGTTCAAAGGCCCCGTTTGTTTTCAGATGTAGAATGGAGGGATTAATAGTGAGGGAATTAATAGTGAGTGGACTATTAATGAGGGGATTAATAGTGAGGGGATTAAGTAAAATTGTATTTTTTTTTATAATAGTTGTTAGTGTAAGGATTGTTAAATTATTTTTATATAAAATAAATATGAAATAATAAAACAAATAAAAAAAAATACAAAAACTTTAAACATTAATGTTTTAAAAAAAAATGCCCAACATGTAAAAAAAATTAAAAAATAAAAATAAAGTAAAAAATTTTCAGAAAAAAATAAAACAAATAAAATAATGATTTTTACTTAACAAAAAATACAAAAAATTAAATATTAATGTTCACAAAAAATGCCCGACATGTAAAAAATAAAATAAAAAATAAATAAAAATAAAAAATTTCTAGTACGCCGAACTATTTTTCTAATACCAAGTCCTGAAGGCCCATCCGAATCCCTTTGGGCAGGCCCATCCTAATCCGAAGCTTACTATCAATCCCCTCCCCATCTCTCAAAACAAACACAATATTAGTGGGTCACACCTCACTACCAATCCTAATCCCCCCTCTAACTCTCCAAACAAACGGGGCCAAAAGGTTCAGATTCAAAAAGTTCAAAGGATCATGTCACATGGACGCCCAATTTCTAACAAATACTAATGAATAATTATCTGTCAATGATAATTTGAGAAAATTGTTACATACGTACCAAAAATTTTATAATTTGAAGTATTTGATAAAGTGTACAAGTAATTTGTAATTATTTTACATTGATTTGAAATTCTCCCCCATACACATCCCACCCTAGAGGGAGATTGGCAATCCTATGAGATTAACTGTGGGTTTAATAGTCCCCTGATATTTTAACACAACAAAACATGAATTGGGTAAGACACGAATTATTAATTCAATGTCACTCTCTCGTAAGCCAAACGAACATCGTCAGACTGTGTAGTGTCAACCGTTTCAAATAATTACCTTCATACTGTTATTTTAAATCCAATACATTTTGTCATATTTTGTTATCAATTCATTTTGCATTTTAATGTTGGTTAGTAAGTCCCATCACTTGTTACTAATAAAGTGATGACACATTATATTATTAACAAAATGTGATATCATAGTATGTAATTTTAAATATATAATAACAAAATTATCAAAATTTAATCTCTAAATTTATATCTAAATTAACATATTTTCTTAAATAAATAGAGCAATGATATATATAATCACACTTCTATATCTCATTTTCTCTTTCCTAGACACAAAATGATATGACACATATCAATAAATACATAAGAGACTCACTTATATGTAGGAGTGAGAAAAAAAGACCCCAAAAAAAAAAGATTATATGTAGCATTTTGTAAATAAATAATGTCAAATTCTTTTATTCAACAATCATAAATTAAAATGAACTTAGGTAAATTATACTTTGCCTGCTTTATATTTTGCCACTTTTTCACTTTGACCCTTAAAGCTTATTTTTTTTTACTTTGGCCCTTCATTTTTCAAGTTTTACTCAATTTACTCTTAAAACTAATTTATGTTCAAAATTAGACCGAAAAATGTCACAATAAATATCACATAATATAAAAAATATATTATTATGTCAAATATATGAATCATATATAATAAATATTTTTATATTACATGATTGTTAACGTGTCATTTTTTGTCTAATTTTTAATAAAAATTAGTTTTAGCACTAAAATGGGAAAAATTTGAAACATGAATGACCAAGGTAAGAAAGAAAAAATTTAAGGGCCAAAATGGCCAAACATAAAGGGAGTAAAGTGTAATTTATCTAAAAATCTATATAATAAAATAGATTTTTTTTTTAAAAAAAAAATCCTATATATCATATTTGAGGATTGAGATTAAACAAATCTAACCATTATAAAAAAGAAAAAAAAATTAAAATGTGTTATATGATGTAATTAATGGTTAAGATTAAGAGTTGATTTGGAAATTTATTACTTTAATTGACTTTTTAATTTTTTACAAAAAAAAAACATATAATTAAAAAATATTTTAAAAAAAGTGATATAATAACTTAATTTGATTTTTTAATTATTTTAACCAAAAAGTTATATGTCAAACTAAATAAATTTAACATATGTTTTTTATATAAATAATAAAGTGCCACGGAGGGGCAATATTGCAAATAACATAATAGTTGAATCGAAGAAAGGAGTGAGAGAGAGAGAGAGAGAGAGGAGGAGGAGTCATGAATGGGGGCGGTTTTGTTGGGTGACGAGAAAAGAGAGAAGCGTAGGGAAATCGTGTTACATGTGCTTGAATTCGTCCTTTGATCACGTTCTTTTCATTTATTTTCATTCATTAGTCAGATCAGATCTGCAATTCGCATATTTCGAAAAATAAATTAAAAATTAATATTTTTAATTTCTTCTAGTTTTGGGCAAATTAAATATACACCCCTCGAGGTTTGGCTAAATTACAAATGCCCCTGAGGTTTGAGAAATTATGAATTCCCCCTGAATGCTATATTTGCATAAGAAATTAGGGGGTAATTTGTTATGAAATATAAACCTCAGGGGGCAAATTGTTATGAAAATACAAACCTCAGGGGGCGGGATGTAATTTCTGAAACCTCAGGGGTATCTGTAATTTAGCCAAACCTCGAGGGGTGTATATGTAATTTGCCCTTTAATTTTTTTTAATAAATTACAAACACATCCTTTAAGATTTATTTAAATTATAAATTATTACTTATAGTTTTAAAAATTACGTTATGTCTCATAAAGTTTTTAATTTCATAACAAATAAGTCATTTAATTAATAAATCATAAAGTTAATTAATATTTTTTAATAATGTTAAGATTTTATTTCAATTAAAAATTCAAATTGTTTTATTATTCTATAGGTAAACAGTTAGAAATTTCACTTTTTTAATTAATTCTATAAAATGAAAAATTCTGACAGTAAGATATTTGTAATTTTTTCCAAATCATAGAAGGTAATTCATATTTTAAGCAAATCTCAAAGAGTGTATTTACAATTTATCCTTTTTTTTTAAAGAAACATGTAAAAATATAAAAAAAAAATTGATGTGATCTAAAAAATTAATAATTAATTTTTGCCAAAAATAATATCGAGTTGTACCAGGGGTATCAAATAATTTTTTAAATTTTTTATCAAACTTTTTATATGAATATAAATCACGAATATATAAATTTGTACGAGTCACATACTTATATAAAAAATTTGATAAAAAAAATTATAAATTATTTAAAATTCATAATATTTTTCCTTTCATACCCGCCGATACGGAAGCAGTCCCTTCACTTTTTCTCGTTAGGGTGTGCGTTGCGTGTTCAATATTTTATTTTTTTTTTCAAAACGTTGTTGTTGTCCGATTCATCACCACACCTTAACCCCCAAACAAGCCCCCACCTGGTCCACCCTTTCTCTTTCTTTTATTTATTATTTAAACTATAACACCCCCTTCCACACTCCAAGTCCAAACACATATATACAATTTTCTCTCTCTGTCAATATATATACCCATATATCTCATTCATTTTTTTGTCAAAATACTTGGAGCTTGGTCTATTATTCTTGTGTGCATCATCAAAAAGAAAGAGATATATACTGAAGAAACATAATGAAAATGAGGAGGAATTGTAACTTGGAACTCCGGCTTGTACCGCCTTCTGCACCTCTCCGTCCGGCGGATTACAACCACCACCACCGCCTCCATCACTTCCAACCCACGTAACTTCCTCATCATATATTCTATCTTTTCTCTTATTCAAATCACACAACCATTTTCAAACTGCTATAAATCCTTTTTAAACTCAATTCATCTCCCATCTTCATTTATTGGTCATTTTGGATGGGTTATTAGTTTGTTCAGTAATGTTTGATGGTCCGAAAATTCATAACTCAAATAGGTCGAATGTGTCAAAACGACATCGTTTTAATTTGGGCCACACAGATTACGGCCACCAAACATTTTTCTTAGTTTGTTTAGGTCATATCAGGTTTTTTTTTTTTTTTCCTACTTCCCAAAATAGCTCAAAATCACACCCACAGAAAATTTTATTCACGCTTTCCACCGCTAGTATATATGTATATATATGCATAAATGTATGTATACTTATTGGGTTTTTTGGGTTGGGTTTGTTTAAAGGTTGGATTTGTTAGGTGGGAGTCCGAATGAGAGACAACAGGAACAGCCGCTAACGATTTTCTATAACGGAATGGTTAACGTTTCGGATGTTACAGAGCTTCAGGTATGTCTCTCTCTCTGTCTGTTTGGTTCTTCTCGCTATGAATGGCAATACTATTACAGAGAATTGCATATGGGTTGTTAGAAAAAATATTTTAAAAAAATAGTAAAAATTATAAATATTCATAATTAAAATCATAAATTTTTTTATCGTTATGTAATAATTTCAAAACCCACCTGAATGGTAATATACACATCATGTGTGGCTTGTCCCTTTCTTTAGAAATAGATTCAATTTGGGCATGATCAGTTTGATTCATCAGAATAAAATTCCTGCAATTTTGACAAACATATATGTAGACATTCTCTGCTTTATTATGGTTTTTACCTTTGAGACAAAATTGTCACATTAATTAGAAAGTACAATACTTAAGAAAAAATTAGCCACAAATGGATCATCCATTTATACAAATCCCGCACAAATTGATGATTATTCATATTCAAGGATTTCAGGAATAATATAAAGGAATATTAGTTTATTTCGGTGACATGTAATTTCGTAGAATCTCCATAATTTCAATGTAAATATGCACAATTTTTTTTTTTAATTTTATTTTAAAGTTTTCTTGTTTGGCCTTAAAATCCTGGCCTATTTTTGGTTTGTCATGACCAACTTTACCAAAATTTTCCAAGACTTCCCAAGTTTGCATTTTTTCATTTTGATCAGATTTGTTATTTCTAGACTAATTAATAATGTGCAAATTATAGACCAATATTATTATTATTATTATTTGGATTTTTCTTCTTTAATTACGAAGTTGTCAAATTATTTAGAGTGATTAAATGATTAATGTATGTATTTTACCTGAGAAGGGTTGAACTGCTTAGTTTATATTGTTTATATTTTGTAAGTTACCCCCTTTTTAGTCATCATGTCATTCAATCAATAATGCTATGTTATCCTAAATTTCATACCTAAAAATGTGGTCAATGTAACATAATTTCATTGCTAAATGATTAAAGAATAGGATTTTCGTAAATAAATCACCAATTAGATGTTAAATAGTTTGTTTGATCTTATTTGCAGGCTAGAGCCATCATGATGGTTGCAAGTCGAGAAATGGAGGAAAAACTTAAGAGCCTTCTGGGTCCGGAACCCTCCTCACCATTGCAACAATCTCCGTTGTGTAGCCCTAGTACTGGTCTTTCCATGAAGAGATCTTTACAACGGTTCCTTCATAAACGAAAGAATCGGATTCAAGCAACATCTCCTTATAATCACTAGTCACTTTTGAGTTAATTTCAGAGAGTTTTGATTCATTGAAGCCTTAAGGAAATGCTTTTTTAGAGTTTCTTGATAAAAATCCTTCATTCGAAAATAATATCCCATGTAAATCATGTATTAGCTAGGGCAGGTCTACATTCAAATCATTAAAAGAAAACAATTTTATGATTAGTTTATTACATGAGTTGCTTTGCCTAACACTGATTGTTCAGATCATTTGTTACTTTGGAATTGTCAAGGAAGCTTTTGATTACATGAGTTTTTTTTGTTTTTGTTTTTGTTTTTGTTTTTGTTTTTGTTTTTAATGTCAATGCCTTGAGGAAAGTACCTACAACCAGAATCAGAGCACACTGATCAAGTAATGATGGCTCACGAAGTTCACATGGAATATAATGTAAAACATAAAGAAAATTATCACTCTATTTGCTTTTGTTTTTAGAATCTATTTTTTGAAAATAAATTTTTAAAAAAATTAAAAGCTAGTTTGGTGAGACAAATGAAAAAATAAAAATAAAAAAAATAATTCATCAATTTCATATAATTTTCTCTCATTTCGAAGGAAATAAATTTTAAAAATATTTTTTTGATGTTAGTTTTTTTATTTACCAAAAACCAGTTTCTGTCTTTTAAAAAAATAAAAATAAATTAGAAAACATATTTTGAAACATGGTCAATATGAAAATAAGTCATCATATTTCTAAAGGATTGTGGTAATAGGGGGATTCCTAGACTGGATCCCTTGGAAACACTCTCAACTATTGATTGAATAGTATTGAGATCTATCACATACATATAATTGAACAACTCAGAGCTCTAAACCAGTTTCACTCCCTTGAGCTTCAAACCAATATTTTTTGACTTTGTATTCTGCAAAATGTGCAAACTGACCTTTTCAAAGCTGCATCCAAGTCATGCTCTTCCTTGTAATTAAAAGCCTCATCAAATCCTAATTTCTTCAACAGATCAACCTTAGAGAGTACAAATAAAAAGTAAACTTAATGGTTAGTAAGTGTCCAAATCACACCATTCAATTCTTCTTTCCATCATAAGTAAAAAAATCATAAAATTTGAAAATTTTGAAGTTGAAAGCATGTTCAATTTCATGGTATCCAATTCATTTTTAAGTTTCTTAGATAGCATCTTTTATCATGACAAATCTATGTTTGGGGATTTCATCTATTTTAGTATATAATATTTTTCTCAACTGAATTATGTAATATAGACAAAGGTTTCATTAACACTTTTAACATGCAATGGAACAAGAAGTACAAGATCATATACTACTATGAATATTAACCAGTGGTAAATACAAGTCAAGTATTGAAACTAGATGTCATTTAAAAAAGGCAAGTGTTTTATGAATTAGTATAGGAAAGAAAACATGTTAGGATTATCGCAAAATATAGCCTATATTGTAGAATTATCTAAACTGGTGTTAACTAGCAATTGTGAGTTTGTGAAATGTTACATAAAACATATGATCAGGTTATTCAACTTAATTAATGTTGTCTATATCCGAGTGACCCACGCTGGAAAATTATTCTCAAAGCATGCACAAAATAAGCAATAACTTATGAAAATCAAATTAGAGTACTTATTAAATGTGATGTCAATCACCTTTTCTTGAGTTCCAGCACTTCCAACAACATAGCAACCCATCAACTTAGCAAACTGTCCAACAAGTTGACCAACTGCACCTGATGCTGCAGATACGAAGACATATTCTCCTTTCTTTGGAGTGCAAACCTCATGAAAACCAACATAAGCAGTCAAACCAGGCGTACCTATTAACAAACAAAAAACATACTGGACAATTAATCAATAAATATACCCCACTAAAAGAAAGGTCATATGCTTAACTTCCTTTGGGAAAACAACTATTTTTGCTTTTTTAAGATGGCATTAGTTAGATCAATTGCATTGTGTAGATTTAAAAATGAAGCTAGTGACAAGATAGAAGAAGTTAAATACACTAACCAAGAATTCCTGTATAATATGACAGGGGTACATCAGTATGATCGATTTTAAAAAGAGCTTCAGGGGTTGTAATGAGACTGTACTCTTCCCATCCGATTGTTCCCCAAACAAAATCACCCTTCTTGATGTTTGGGTGACCTGAATCTATAACCTTAGCTACTCCATGACCCATTATTACCTGCACATCACATTCACATATCACATCACAATTAAAACCTACAAATCAATTAGAATGAGGGCATCCATGAAACGAAAACCAGTGCAGTTCTAACTCACTTTCGATTTTGACAATGCATTACTACTCGCGTCAGTACCATCTCCCTAACTCCTTTTGTAGGTAAATTATAACTCTCTATAGATTTATTTAAATTACAAATTATTTTCTATAATTTAAAAAATTATATTATGTCTCATAAAATTTTTAATTTCATAACAAATAAGTCATTTTATTAATAAATCATAAAGTTAATTAATATTTTTTAATAATGTTAAAATTTTATTTCAATTAAAAATTCAAATTGTTTTATTATTGTATAGGTAAACAGTTAGAAATTTTACTTTTTTAATTAATTCTATTAAATGAAAAATTCTGACAGTAAGATATTTGTAATTTTTTCCAAACCATAGAAAGCAATTTATATTTTAAACAAATCTCAAAAAGTGTATTTACAATTCATCCTTTTTTTTAAAGAAACATGTAAAAATATAAAAAAAAATTGATGTAATCTAAAAAATTAATAATTAATTTTTGCCAAAAATAAGCCTTTCATAGCGAGTTGTACTAGGGGTATCAAATAGTTTTTTTAATTTTTATCAAACTTTTTATATAAATATGAATCACGGATATATAAATTTCACGAGTCACGTACTCATATAAAAAATTTGATAAAAAGAATTATAAATTATTTAAAATTCATTATATTATTTCTTGCATACCCGCCGCTACGGAAGCAGTCCCTTCACTTTTTCTCGTTGGGGTGTGCGTTGCGTGTTCAGTATTTTATTTTTTTTTCAAAACGTTGTTGTTGTCCGATTCATCACCACACCTTAACCCCCAAACAAGCCCCCACCTGGTCCACCCTTTCTTTTTCTTTTATTTATTATTTAAACTATAACACCCCCTTCCACACTCCAAGTCCAAACACATATATACAATTATCTCTCTCTGTCAATATATATACCCATATATCTCATTCATTTTTTTGTCAAAATACTTGGAGCTTGGTCTATTATTCTTGTGTGTGTGTGCATCATCAAAAAGAAAGAGATATATACTGAAGAAATATAATGAAAATGAGGAGGAATTGTAACTTGGAACTCCGGCTTGTACCGCCTTCTGCACCTCTCCGTCCGGCCGATTACAACCACCACCACCGCCTCCATCACTTCCAACCCACGTAACTTCCTCATCATATATTCTATCTTTTCTCTTATTCAAATCACACAACCATTTTCAAACTGCTATAAATCCTTTTTCAACTCAATTCATCTCCCATCTTCATTTATTGGTCATTTTGGATGGTTTATTAGTTTGTTCGGTAATGTTTGATGGTTCGAAAATTCATAACTCGAATGATTTGAATGTGTCAAAACGACGTCGTTTTGATTCGGGCCACACAGATTACGGCCACCAAGCATTTTTCTTAGTTTGTTTAGGTCATATCAGGTTTTTTTTTTTTTTTCCTACTTCCCAAAATAGCTCAAAATCACACCCACAGAAAATTTTATTCACGCTCTCCACCGCTAGTATATATGTATATATATGCATAAATGTATGTATACTTATTGGGTTTTTTGGGTTGGGTTTGTTTAAAGGTTGGATTTGTTAGGTGGGAGTCCGAATGAGAGACAACAGGAACAGCCGCTAACGATTTTCTATAACGGAATGGTTAACGTTTCGGATGTTACAGAGCTTCAGGTATGTCTCTCTCTCTGTCTGTTTGGTTCTTCTCGCTATGAATGGCAATACTATTACAGAAAATTGCATATGGGTTGTTAGAAAAAATATTTTAAAAAAATAGTAAAAATTATAAATATTAATAATTAAAATCATAAATTTTTTTATCGTTATGTAATAATTTCAAAACCCACCTGAATGGTAATTTTTCCATATTTCTTTGTTAGTCTTATCAAAATTTTCCATTATTTGAGACAGATTATGGTTGGGTAATATACACATCATGTGTGGCTTGTCCCTTTCTTTAGAAATAGATTCAATTTGGACATGATCAGTTTGATTCATCATATATGTAGACATTCTCTGCTTTATTATGGTTTTTACCTTTGAGACAAAATTGTCACATTAATTAGAAAGTACAACACTTAAGAAAAAATTAGCCACAAATGGATCATCCATTTATACAAATCCCGCACAAATTGATGTTATTCATATTCAAGGATTTCAGGAATAATATAAAGGAATATTAGTTTATTTCGGTGACATGTAATTTCGTAGAATCTCCATAATTTCAATGTAAATATGCACAATTTTTTTTTTTTAATTTTATTTTAAAGTTTTCTTGTTTGGCCTTAAAATCCTGGCCTATTTTTGGTTTGTCATGACCAACTTTACCAAAATTTTCCAAGACTTCCCAAGTTTGCATTTTTTCATTTTGATCAGATTTGTTATTTCTAGACTAATTAATAATGTGCAAATTATAGACCAATATTATTATTATTATTATTTGGATTTTTCTTCTTTAATTACGAAGTTGTCAAATTATTTAGAGTGATTAAATGATTAATGTATGTATTTTACCTGAGAAGGGTTGAACTGCTTAGTTTATATTGTTTATATTTTGTAAGTTACCCCCTTTTTAGTCATCATGTCATTCAATCAATAATGCTATGTTATCCTAAATTTCATACCTAAAAATGTGGTCAATGTAACATAATTTCATTGCTAAATGATTAAAGAATAGGATTTTCGTAAATAAATCACCAATTAGATGTTAAATAGTTTGTTTGATCTTATTTGCAGGCTAGAGCCATCATGATGGTTGCAAGTCGAGAAATGGAGGAAAAACTTAAGAGCCTTCTGGGTCCGGAACCCTCCTCACCATTGCAACAATCTCCGTTGTGTAGCCCTAGTACTGGTCTTTCCATGAAGAGATCTTTACAACGGTTCCTTCATAAACGAAAGAATCGGATTCAAGCAACATCTCCTTATAATCACTAGTCACTTTTGAGTTAATTTCAGAGAGTTTTGATTCATTGAAGCCTTAAGGAAATGCTTTTTTAGAGTTTCTTGATAAAAATCCTTCATTCGAAAATAATATCCCATGTAAATCATGTATTAGCTAGGGCAGGTCTACATTCAAATTATTAAAAGAAAACAATTTTATGATTAGTTTATTACATGAGTTGCTTTGCCTAACACTGATTGTTCAGATCATTTGTTACTTTGGAATTGTCAAGGAAGCTTTTGATTACATGAGTTTTTTTTGTTTTTGTTTTTGTTTTTGTTTTTGTTTTTGTTTTTTTTTAAGGTCAAAAACTCAAATTTATCATCTATTTTCAATAGATCTACTCATTTAAACTTATCAAATTTTGAACAAAAGAGAATTTTAGTACATTACTACGGTTATTTCCACAAAATACATTTAGATACAAATTTTGCAGACATTATTGGCAATATATCTAATGATATCAATAAATGGGTGGTTTACTGATTGAACTAGGTGATGGGTGATTGGATTGTAGGTGAAGGGCTAGATCTCTATCCTCACCAACTCTTGCAAAGCAAGCCCTTTGGACGTACTCGGGGAGTGTCTTTTCCATGGGCCGTCCAATGTCCACTCTTGTAAAAGCCTTACGGAGAAGACGATGGAGAATAAGATTTTCAAAATATCTTACCTCGCATGGTATACTTCCCTTATATATGTACGCGTGATCAATATCATCTAGAAGATTTCTCTACATGATTGAGGAGAAATTTCTTTAGGCCTTGTCAAAATGGGGAGCATCATAAGTCCCTTTCCATATATGCATGATCTCTGGGACGTAAGGGTTGTGCTAGAGACCAAGAATCCCAACAAAGAAAAGTATAAAGAAAAACAATATGTGATCTAGATTCATAGTAAGTGTGAACCACACAATGCAAGAATTAAATATAGAGCACATGCTTTTCTTTCTTTTTTTTCTTGATTCTTTTATGTGTCTAAATGCTTAGTCACTAGCATAACTTGTAATGCCCCAAAATAGCGAAACCCAATTCATCTAAATTTACTCACATTTATTACTCAATTTCCATTATCATAAAAATTAATATGCGGAAGCGATGGATGTTCTGAATAACTCATGATCAATATTGATACTAAATCTCCATATTTTATTCTTGAATTGTATGGATGTTCTGAATAACTCATGATCAACATTGATACTAAATCTCCATATTTCATTCTTGAATTGTATGCGAGATTTACAAAACGTGAATCACATGCAATAACACATTCATATTCTCTAAAAATTAAATCTATAGCATGTGATTACAAAAGCTAAAACTAAATAGATAGAATTTTATGCCCTATTGGCTACGAATTCCAAGGCCTAGCCCGGTTACAACAAAGTGGAATTCAAATCCAAAACATACAAGCCCAATGGCTATTGTCACGACCCAAACTCGCCCCTGTAAGTTTAGTATCGTAACCGGCCAGTAATCTGTGGATTACCCAAGGCCTCTGAACAAATAAGCACATAACAAGGGGCTGCGGAAGCAAATATACAAAATAAACAAGGTCTAATGAGCTGTGATAACATATATGGGACAGAAGATTTCAAAACTTATATATACACAAGCATGTCGGTCGAAGGACATCAATATTTGCAAACATTTACAAAAGTGTAATTCCCAGGACTTGACCTGACGAAACCGACAGAGACTAGCATGAGTACAAAAACAGCCATGTAGCTAGACTTCGATCGGAACCTCCTCGGAAGGCACAACGGTTGGCTGACAAAAATAGAAATGAAGGCCGTCAACTCTGGTCCTGATCACGCGCCGGCTCACCAACATATATAACATAAACTATGAGCGAAAGCTCAATGAACAATAACAGAGTAAAGGGGTTTAAATGGATGAGTCAGTACAGATTCAGAAATCATAATTCAGTTTCATGTCAAATTCATAATTTGTCCAGATCATATACAGAAATCATGAGGTATGCTTAAACATAGGTGATACATCCATTAGTATTAACAGAGCAGATATAGAACAGATACAGACACGTGAGGGTTACGAATAACCAGTTCTATAAAGGAACCTCTGGATCCGGGTAACAGAGAATAAACACACTGAGCCCCCATGACAGGGCCTCCTGTACGAGTAACAGAGTGCAGACAGATTAAGTTTCATAAAGGAACCTCCGATACCGGGTAACAGCCAACAGATATCACATGATGCTAATGATGTCACGAATACATAATAGAAATTGGACAATCATTCATTGTATAGAACATATCATTTCAGAAAACAGATCTTAATTCATCACACAGAAAATAAGTAAAGTTAAATATATCTTTACTATGTTATTACTCACAGTTGGCCTTGAGACAGATAGACGAAGCAGATTGGTCAAACGGTATGCGGCACATGAACAATATAACACATAACAGATACACACTTGAAACACACGTTCTAAATGTACATAACTTACTTCGTTGGCTCTTAGTGTGTTTCTAACCTTTAATCCTCAATATGGAGTCTTAACCATGGTCTAGAAATACCTAGGATGGAATGAAGATGCAAGAATGCATTGGAAAACATTTCTTGAAACTTGCTGAAAATAAGGTCCACGCTCGAGCGTGGGTTTCTCCGCTCGAGCGGACATGCAAACAATGAAGCTCCGCTCGAGCATGGACTTCCCTACTCGAGCGGACTGTAAACCATGACAAAAGTACTGGATGCATGTTTTTCACGCTCAACGGGCGCTCGACCTACACTTAAGCGTGAGACTCAGAACCTCGCTCGAGCGTAGATTCCCCCGCTCGAGCGGACTGTAAAACACACAAACTTCTGGGTATATGCATTTCACGCTCGAGCGTAAACATCGTCGCTCGAGCGAAGTGCATGTACTCAGAGTGCACGCTCGAGCGTGGATCAAATTTCTAGAATTTTCAGATTTGATCACCAAGCTCAAATTCGACCCCAAATGCATCAAACTCAATTTTCTTGGCCCACAACTTGAGGGAATACATGAAGACTCATAAAACAACATGTTTAAAGAATCATTTCAAGAAATCATGGCCCAAGAGCAAACCAATTGTACAAAACTCAACTTAAACTCAAAATTAATGTACATGACTTGTATGCAATTTCCCTGAACCCAAATCTTCCAAAACATGACCAAATGCAATGTTCAACCCAAAAACATGATCAACTATGACAATATGACATGGAATATGAAGAATTTCTAAAACAAAGCTTGCATTATGACATGCATGCAAGGATTCTTTAGAAAGACAACCTCAAATGCCATGAATTACACATGCATGTATGTATTGAGCTTCAATTCACCAATTCTTAGCTTAGTTGACCCCTAACTTTCTTGAGTTCAATTACTTAGTGCCTTAAATACAAAGTTTAAAAGTATAGTTCTTACCTAAGGTTGATTTCAAGTATGATTCTAACTCAAAGCTTCAAATTAGCTTCAATCTCCTAGTCAATTCTTCACTTGAGCTCAACCTCCCCTTACTCTTTCTCTCTCTCTCACGTTTTTCCCTTTAGAATAGGCTCAACATGTCTTAAGATCAAGGAAAAGGAGGTGAGTGGAGTGTCAAAGTGGCTTATAAGTAGTAATTGACCAAGTTACATCAATTGGCATTAATCTAATCTAATTTAATCGTTCCGAATCGAATTTTAATTAAACTTACCATAAAGTTCTATAAATCCTAATTAATACATAAATCAAGTCAATTTTTTATTTGAACGCCGATAAGGCTTTCAATTCACAGACTGAAACTAAAACGTGAACAGATCTTTCTACACCTAACAGATAGAGACACAAAAATAATGCAATACACACACATATGCGTTTTAATTCCAAATCCCTCCTAAATTACTGTTAAGCATAATTAAGTACGAATTAACGTTAATCAGAGATCGGGGTTATTACAGTCTTCCCCCCTTAAAAGAGTTTGGTCCTCCAAACTCGAATTACCTTCTTTCTGAAACAACATTGGGTCCAGTGGGAACAAATCTGGATATCTCTTCATCATGTCTTCTTCTGTTTCCCAAGTTGCATAGGTTCCTCCGTGGTTTTGCCAATCAACTTTCACCAACGATATTTCTTTGTTTCTCAACCTTTTGATCCTGCGGTTCACAATCTGGATAGGTCTTTCCTTGTAGGTGTAATCATCTTTCAAAAGCACATGTGTTGGCTCAATGACGTGGAATGGATCCCTCAAGTATTCTCGAAGTATCGAGACATGAAAGACGTTATGCATATGCTCCATTACTGGGGTAAGGCTACTCGATATGATACTGGATTGATCTTTTCAAGGACTTCATAAGGTCCAACATATCTTGGCGCCAACTCGCTCTTAACACCAAACCAAGTTTGACCCTTCATCGGGGTCACCTTTATGAACACATGGTCCCCAACTTCATATTCCCTATCTCTTCTTCAGACATCAGCATAGCTCTTCTGCTAACTCTGTGCCGTTTTCAGACGTTGCTGGATCAGTTTCACTTTCTCGGTTGTTTCTTGTACAAGTTCCGGTCCCAACAAAGGTCTATCACCTACTTCAGTCCAACATATTGGAAAATGACATTTTCTTCCATATAAGGCTTCGTAAGGAGCCATTCCAATGCTTGAATGGTAACTATTGTTGTACACAAATTCAACTAATGGCAAGTAGGTCTCCCAATTCCCCTGGAAGTCTAATACACACATTTGGAGCATATCTCCCAAAGTTTGGTTAGTTCGTTCAGTTTGTCCATCTGTCTGTGGGCGATAGGCACTACTCAACCTCAGTTCAGTCCCCAAAGCCTGTTGCAAACTCTGCCAAAATCTCGACACAAACTTTGAGTCCCTGTCAGACACAATAGATACTGGCACTCCATGCAATCTTACAATTTCAATCATATAAATATTGGCCAATTTATCCGCATTATAAATAGTTTTGACAGGCAGAAATTAGCAGACATAGTTAAATGGTCAACTATAACCCAAATGGAGTCCATACCTCAGGAAGAGCGAGGCAATCCCACAATGAAGTCCATGCTAATGTGCTCCCATTTCCATTCTGGTATTGGGAGTGGTTGTAGCAAACCAGCGGGTCGTTGATGTTCAGCTTTAACCTGTTGGCAATGTAGACATCTCGCCACAAAATCAGCAATACTCTTTTTCATTCCAGGCCACCAAACATTCTGTTTCAAATTGTGATACATTTTCGTGTTCCCCTGGTATATGGCAAACTTACTGTTGTGAGCTTCGGTCATAACACGTTTTCTCAAATCACCACAATCGGGTACACAAAAACGGTTTTGAAATTTCAGCACGTCATTCTCAAACACAAATCCTGGCCTCGGCTTTGAATCAAATTCCTCTATGATCTTTTTCAAGTATTCATCCTCGCATTGTTTTTGTTTGATCTCGTCAAGAATTATAGGTTGAGCGGAAATAGCAGTTAAAATCCCACCTTGTTCTTGCACATCAATCTCAATTTCCTTCTATTCCACGTCATCTAGTAGTTCTTTCGATTAGACAACAGACATGACAAATTTGCAATGGATTTTCGGCTAAAGGCATCCGCCACGGTATTAGCTTTCCCTAGGTGATATAAAATCTACAAATCATAATCTTTGATTAATTTTAACCATCGCCTTTGTCTCATGTTCAATTCCTTTTAGGTGAAGAAATATTTCAAGCTTTTATGATCAGTATACGCCTCACAAGTTACCCCATACAAGTAGTGACGCCAGATTTTCAAAGCAAACACCACAGCTGCTAATTCAAGATTGTGCGTCGGGTAATTCTTTTCATGAAGTCGGAGTTGTCGAGAAGTATAGGCAATCACTTTTCCGTTTTGCATTAATACACACCCCGAACATTTGCAGGAAGCATCACTGTAAACTAGAAACCCATCAGTACCATTGGGCAAAGTTAAAATTGGTGCAGTTACTAACCTGGT